GTCCTCCAGTAGGTTTAACATCTTTGGACGGCCGTTATTTTCCAAATCCCGAAGTACGAAACCCGCCCAATCAACATCGTCTCTTCCATTGGTCTCTTCAACAGTGGATTCTCATGGTGAGACTGCTTTGGGTGAGCACCTATCATCTCCCCGTTCCTACTTCTTTCTAAACTCAATGTAGAATCATCTATTGCTACCACTCAAAGTGCGTCGAATTATCACCTCGCAGATGGCGTACTCACCCCAATCCTAGGTCATCCATTAGCGCCGTCACCTGAGGCGCGGACACCAGCTAGTTTTTCAGTAGTTCAAGGTGACTGATTGTTTGAATTATCTTGATCTTCAAGCTGATTGGCATCTGTAGATCAGCCCAAATCTTCAGCCAAGAAAACCACGCTCACGACCACTTGTCTCGATCAATCTCAAGGTGAGAAGGCAGTTTCATATTACGTCGATCCGGTATTTACATTCCTTAAGGACAAGCCAGTAACTCCCCAGAGAATCCTCAGACAGCGCCGAAGCCTTGGTCAACTACAAAAGATATCCTAAAGTTAACAGGAAGGTCCATCCTGACACTCACAAAAAGGCTGCCAGATGTCGTAGACGGAAACCCAGTCAAAATGGCTCTTGGACTTGTGAAGCTGATCATCGAGATCCAACAGGTTCGGCGTGGTTGTTCACACTGCTCACCCCCTGACCATCGTCCCAGGCTGTGGCAGACAATATGGATGCCGTTAAACGAAGGCTAAATTCGACGCGAGCTCAGCTGGAGACGGTGGAGAAGGAATTGGATGGTTGGACACCGAAGACTGCTCAAGAAAGCCAATTTACAGACTTGTTCATAAAGTAAAGTTTGTTGTTTTCCTATTGATGTTGGGTTGACAACCATATGATAATTTAGTGCCCTTAAAGAAGAATTGGATAAATTGATCCAGTTGAGCGAAGAGTGGCTCGTCAGGAAGGTCGCGGACCATGAGGAAGAGAAAGGGCGTATCACGGAAATTTTCGAGCGCATTAATGAGTCTAGAGTCCAGTTCGAGGTGTGTGCCGCCTCTTCCTTTTCGCATCCCTCGTCTCAAATTTCGCGTCTATGTACTCCAATAGCTGGCGATCAATATCAGAGTCTTTAAGAGTGTGTATGACATGGAGAAAGCGTTCAGAGTTCGCATATCGCTTTTTTCAGGCATCTCATGGCTCACGGATCTGACAGAAATTCTTGTTGAATGGTCTCAAACCTTCGAGCATTGCCGACCACAAATACCATTTAGAGGGTGAAGAAGAGCAGCGCGTGCGGCGTGAGGTATGCACGCCAGGAACCCGCGTCCGTATACTCAACGATATCATTACTTGGGCTAAGAATACCTCACCAGGAAGCCCAAATGTCTACTGGCTCTCTGGTCAGGCTGGATCAGGAAAGAGTACGATCGCCTATAGTATTGCTCGCCGTTTCGA